ACGTTCCTGCTGTTTGGGGGGTTGGATCTGCTTATCGTGGGGTTTGTGTGGGCGTTTGTGCTGGAGACTAGGGGGAAGTCGTTGGAGGAGATTAGTGCCTTGTTTGAGGGGGGGTATTCCCCTCGTTTGTCTACTCCGAGGGAGACTGGTAGTGATGGTGATGGTGATAATGGCAAGGATGCAAGTATACTGCATGTGGAGGCTGGGCGTGCTCCTCCACAACCTTGATCTAAATAGTATATATCTTAGATGAGAGGAATTGACTCCCGAATATTGCATTGTCAATTACTAGTAGAGCAGCTGGACACTCTTGTTGCTACTAATAGCATTGAGCAAGCGTGATTGTTCGCCTAATGTACATCTATCATTCATGAATTACTATCGTCACGAGTACTCCCGGTACCCTGTCGCAGAGAAACCTCCCTTGAGCAAGCCAGCATCAAACCAAAAGCAAAGCAAAACACAAACCATCCATAAACCATTGTAAGAATGTTACCGCCTAGCATCCTCATTAAACTCCGAATAATCAATCAGGTTCCTTCGCCATAAGGTGAAATAGCAAGCAGGCTAATCCGCAGACCCTTGTTTCCATACTTTTCCCAACCAGGCGCCAGTATGGATCGTAGTAGTGGTAATAGTCATCAAAGTAAAGCACGAGGTCATTGTCACATCAGGGGTGGAAAAAGGCTCAAACGTTGATCAAATCGTCAAAGCTGTCGTCGGTCGAAAAGGCATAAGAGTGCTCCGTCAGGACGGACGCCTCCGAGTCCCGACGGACGGACTGGTCCATGGACTCACCCGTACGAGATGGTTCCAGATGCAGCGGATCATCAAAGCCAAAGGACAGCGCCTGCTGAGGTCGCGGGGTCATCGGCCCTTCGGAAGACGATGCTGCTGCATCCGCCACGTCGGTCAACTCCGGGGCCGTTGTGTCGTTGTAGGTAATCTTCTTCACCATCTGTGCTAGATGGAGCTTGATCGGCTCATCTCCGCATTGAGCGTGCTTCAGGACTTCGTTCTTCAGTCCAAGAATCTCCGAGCGCAGGCGTGCAATCTCAGACACCAGTTGCTCCTTCTTGTCCGACTGCTCCCTATACCGCGACTCAAGAAGCTGTGTATGCTCTTTCTTCTTCTGCCGGCATTTGCTGGCGGCCAATCGGTTGCGTTCCAGGAACTTCTCCCGCTTCGCCTTCTCCTGCTGCTGTTCGTTATACTCGGCCTGGGTCATCTTGGAATCGCGGACCTTGCGACGTTTGGAGCTGCCGCCATTGCTGTTTATGGCCGTCTGCTCACAGAAGCTTCTACGATCGCTATGAGTCTGGAAATTCTGTGTTCCGTTGGGAAATTGGCACTGAGACAGCGAGTATAGATCACCGACCGTGTGAGTCTTGCTGTCACCATATGGAGGTGGAGTAGGCTGACCATTGCGGACATGGGAGTGCTTGAGGTCGCGTTCAAGATTAGGATTGGAGAACATCTGTTCGCGCTTTCCGTTCCACGAGGGCATGGAGGAAGAGATAGGACTCATACCCCAGAGATGCTCTTCGTCAGGGAGAGAAAGCCCAAGAAAGTCACCGGAGAAGGAATTAGGAGGAGCAAAGGGAGAGGGGCCAGGATTGACAGCATCGGGGCCAGGCATTGCAGACCGGCCAAAGGCGGACTGCTCCGGTAACATATTGAGAGTCGACATCGCGGGAGCGATGGTTGCACGATGCGTCGTACAAGGGGGGTTTCAGCTGAAGAGTACGCCACAGACAATGGTATTTGAATTAAGTATGGATGAGAGAAAGCTGTCAAGATGATAATAAAGGAGCAAGACAGAAGAAAACAAAAGGAGAAGAAGTAAGAGTTAGATATCTATAGCAGTGGTGGATTGATAGGGCGGGAGTGTAAGTGGCGGGCCGAGAAGTGACAGCTCGATCCGGCCAAACAATCAGAGCGGGAGGGGGCAGCGGGAAGGTTTTGCTTGTGACTTTTTGTGTTTAGAGGCAAGAGCCAAGGTAGCTGCAGGGGGAGAGGAAGATGGAAAAGGAGTACCGTAGTTGATGGGAGAGGCGTACGTGGATAGACTTATCCAAGAGAAGGAAGGAAGGAGAACAAGGCGAATAAGAAGGGACAGGAGAATAAAACCGCGTTGGTGAGGAGGAGACGAAAAAGGGAATTGGCGCAGATGAGTCTAGAATCCGCAGAGAAGGCCAGAGAACGAGAATTGAGAGGGAGGGAATGGAGTGGTGTGTGGTCAGATCCGAGTTGTTGCAACCAGGGGAGCGCAAAAAGCATGGAAGGAGAACAAAGTGGGGAGTGGCTAGACAAGAGGGGACGCTGAAGAAGAACAGGAGATCTGAGAGTTGATGATGATGGAAGAGAGAAAGGAAGAACAAGTTTTGAGGAAGCCAGACAGAATCACACTCCCATGTACAGATGATAGACGGGACAATCGTTGAGGTTGAGGTTGAGACTGCAATTATTGTTTGCAATTGCAACTGCCACTGCCAATGTGGAAGTAAGAGAAGCAATATTGCATTTACTGGTCGGATAAACAGCGCACTTATTCTGTTTGATATACCCCTATATCTTATTATAATTTAGTTCCCTGTTTCCGTCTCTTCAATAGGGAGTAGTAACGTGGTACTCATAGAAAATGCTGTGGTTATAAGACACCAGAATGAACTTATATAAACCCATGCGATAGCGTTATCTATCTATTTGAAACCCTCCATGATGAAATTAATGGCCACATCGACCAGTCCTGTTGGTGGACGAGGATCTCGACCTGTAAGAACCAGAACCGGTTGGACTTTGTCAAGATGGGAGGGGGATCAACTCTTTAGCTACGGACAATCTGAATGGAATTGACGGAGCTTGAGGAGTTGAAGATGTCGGTAGGGACCATTATTGGCTGGGACGTCGCGGAGGGAGCAACATCTATTGACTGGAGAACCATAAGAGCGATTAGCTACCTAACAATCCACCGTTTTCTCTGTTTCCCTACCTCCATCAGGCAGGGGATCAAGGGCAGGGGCCCTGATCCAAGAACAAAGGTACTTTGTACTATGTGTCTATCCGTGGGAAAAGTAACGTACTTTGCTTACGCTCTGACACCTGTGGTACTTCCACATCCAGCTAGGATGGAGACCTTATGAGAGGTACTTTCCTAAACAGGCAGGGGTGCCTTCGCTCTCCGCTCTGATTGGGCTGAGTTTTATTCCGGACACGAACCCCACCATAGCTGGAACACAGTGACGTCATTGACAGGCTGACTCAGCGCTGTGTCCGCTGATTCGCCACTCGACTTGTCTGATGGCCTGGTTAAGGTACTGTATACCCGCAAGGACCTCTTACTCGCAGCAGATAGTAGTACTAGTAGTAGATACTTCCAGCCTTCGACCCTTGCATCAGCACGTGCATATTTCATCATGTAATATGAGATATGACAGCTCTCCAACATTCAATCATTGCCACCTATCTCTCTGCCAGGATCCCACGGACGCCAGATGGTCAAGCTCAACACCGAGGTACACCATACAGACGCACTCTCAACCACGGCAGTCCTGCTGTCAACCTGCCACTCACCCTTATAACCATGGATTGGGCCAACATCCGAAGTAAGAAAGGAAATAGATAGATAACTTACAGTTCAGATCATTCATGGTTCGAGGGTCAGGTTCAGGCCAAGGTATGATGTTGATGGTCACGTCATCTCCAGCATCCCGCTCCACTCACCACAACACCTCGCCTTTTACCTGTAGATCCTCCACTGCACACTATCAAATATCAAGATAAACCAACAAGTACAAGAGACAGAGACAGAGACAGTCAAGACGCGCGTCTCAGAGTCTCGCCCAGCGAGCCTAGAGCCCAGAGTCCAGAGCCCAGAGTCCTCATCCGAGCCACAGAATCAGGTTTACCCTGCATCCAAGGGATCATCGAGACCATCTTCCAATGTACAACATTATGTTTTCTGGTCCGCATCCCGGAACGAGTCCCGCCTAGGTACCTGCTTCCAGTTGTAGAGTACGGAAGAAGACTACATCTGCCGGTCCAGAAATCCGACTACTCACCGTTCAGCGATCGGCATCTGCTCCACCCTTCGGATCGCTTGTCCTCGTCCAATGCCCAGGGGTGGAGGGCAAAGGGCACTCCCACTAGGCGTTTCATCCTCCACCCTCCAACTAACTCAATTCCAATTCCAACTTCAAGAAACCTGATCTGATCTTGGGCTGTTTCTTATCCTAGCCAGCCAACGTGAGCATTTCAAGCTGGCGACCACTCCATAGGTACCCCGATTTATTGTCCTGGTTTCACATACTTGACATTTCTACATACATCCCATCCATATACGGAGTAGACTCGCCCAGAGCTCTGTCTGGAGTTGTGGACGTAAAGTATGGTCGGAACTTCCAGAGTATGGATTATGGATAGTGGATGGTGGTTGAGATGATATCCCTTGTCGAACGCTTGATCCCGGGCCTAATCGAACTTCAGAGGGTCTGCTGAACTCCCCACTACCTACCTAGATATAAAGTATGAAACCTGCCAACAGCTGTGACCACGGCGATCTACATTATAGGGTACTCGCCTAAACCACCCACCAATGGTATGGACAGTGCTGCCATGTTCCTTGTCCATAGTACAGTCGTACTTCCGTCAGGGGTAAAGAGCAGGCAAGCCACTTGTGTCATCATGATAAAAGGTACTGCTGGAGATCGTCTTTTCCCCCCGCATTCACTCTTTGTCTACCAAGCTATTGTACACGAATCCCGACCAGGATGCCCTTGGCTGTCCGCCGTCTCATTCATCGAATGCCCAGAAGGATCGTCTGGTCGGGCTCCACCGCGGCTCAGCCTGATTAAAGGACAAGCACCATCAAGTTATATCAACAAATCATTCTACAAAGTCCCAGAGTACTGCGTACAAAGTCCAGAATCGTCCCGTGTCCACAAGCCGGCGGCCCGTGAACCAAGCACGGATTAATGATCCATCATCTGCTTCCGTCCAAGCTATTCCGAACCCTCAGACGACCAAGATATTGTAAGTCGCTCTGGCACGTGCACTTGATCTTCCCAGACCCGCAATTGGCGACTCACCGCTCGCCAGTTCGCAATCAGCATCATCGCCACATATGTGCGATTCATCTCAAGTATGCGCAGGGTCTGCAGATCATAAGCACCTTCTTCAGGCCCTTGATCCGTCAGCAGGGGCCCAAAGACCTGGCCGAGCCCTTCCAATATCTGCGAACGCGTTACAAATTCCAGTTTTCCAACACCAGTCTTGTACCCATGCCGCTCATACTCCACAATTCGTCTCGTTTCATGCACGTAAAAGGCACATAACCCGAAAACAGCGCACATCAGCTCCAGTTGCATTGGACCCGCCAAGGCTAGAATGGCGAGGCCAATCGCCTTGATCCTCGTATACCTTGCTTGGGTTAGCCCTCCGAGACAGCTACGCGTCCGTTTGAGCTTTTGGTCGGGGCTGTTGAGCTTGTCCTCCAAGGAAGGAGTCTTCACGTAGATATCTAACAAAGCGCTGTACAGGTGCGTGGATCCCAAAATGCCGCCAGGAAGCCCAGCAAGCAGGCACTTGAACACCCACCCGACACTGAGGATGTGAGTCGAATGGCGCTGCGACTGGATTGAACCCAGGATGCTCATCAATTCGGACGGCATCTCGCCACTGCCCATCGTAATCTGAATCTTGTCCTGCTCTCTCTCGCTGGATAGCACCTGGCTGGCGAAATAACCATAGATCTGTGCAGCTGCGCCCAAGTCACCCGGATCGAAGAACAAGTCTCGTACAAGTGGACCTGCAGCTCGCCTTAATAAGCAGATGATTCATCTCTGGGATTCAGGGGATGCATACCACGACATCTCAGATAGGTCGCCGTCGCCACAAAGCACACGGGTAATTTAAGCGCCGTCGGTGCAAAGTCTCCGGGATAGGCCAAGAAGCTGTGACCCCCAAGGCGAGCTAGAGTTTCCAAAGACTTTCCGGCTAGCGAATCCATCCGATAAGAACAGTAAGAGAGGTTGGCAAATGTCTTCATTCGACGCAACTTTCGCTCCTGTGGCATACTCTGGGCCTTGAGCTGGAAGGTCGATCGCACCGTTCTGATCCGACGAATAATCCTATCCCGCCGTCGAGGCAGGCCCCTCGCGAAGTCGCAGGGTCGCGAGACTGATATCCAGTTTTCGTCAGCAATTTCCCTTAAATGCCGTCAATGGGGAGACACTCAACCTACCTGAAGTGGGATGGGCATGAGAGCAGTCGCCGCCCCCCTGACTTTTAGTATTGCTCAGGGGCAAAGGTTTCAAATTCAGCTTGACAGCTAGATCATTGAACGCTATGGCAGCTTTGCGCCGGTCGAAAATGTCTGACCAATTGCCATCATCCAAGCACGAGATGGGGAGAGAACTCTCTCGTGACAAGCTTCCCATGATATCCAGGTCGGTGCAGATGACAGGCCTTCTTGACCTTTTGTAGACATGGAGGTTCTGCGGCTTCTGAGAATCGGTAAGACTATAGTTTGAACTGGATTCCCTGCTGGATCGAGAGGCGGCTTTGAATCGGTCTGTGAATGGGTTGGAAACCGCTCCTAACTGGGGCGATCTCTCAACTTCATCGAAAGGATTCTCGCACACATATTCCCGTTCGATAAGGGGGATCGGGTTGGACGTGTTTCGGGAAGGGTGGCGGTAGACAGTCTCGCTTGTGAGGTCGGAATTGACAGACTCAAGAGTCTTGTCACTGGCTTTGCGGGACTCCTGATGTTCATATGCATCCTTGTCTATACCCGAGTCCTCCTTGGAGCTAATGCAGCCACAATTCGTTCTTGCACCGTGAAGGGTACAGTCGTTTTGTCGAGACTGCTCCCCAAGTCGCATTAGCGATTTCCGGTGTCGAGGCTTGCGAGAACGAAGGGACGTCATAAAGCCTGCAAGTCCTTTCGAGCCTGCCACTGGATGCTGTGATTCTGTGAATGCTTGTTGCGAGTCTGTTTTAAGACATGAATACTTCGAGGAAGGGTCAGAGTCACCAGAAGTAAGTGCCTGTCCGAGACTCCCAGCTGATGTGGCGTCGGGCTCATCGACATGATACTTCTTGGAGCAGTGGCCATCGTTGGCTGTGTCTGTTCCGATTGTACCTTGCTCATTCGAGACTTGTTTTAAAGACGGATTTGTTCGGTGAGCAGCCTGTGTGACAGCACCCGCTCGTGTGCGGTGTACCCAAGTCCACGACTGCCTGCCCTCTAAAGTTCTCTCATTGCCTTGCTCTGAGGCTCTAAAGAAAGTATTGAAGAGTCCCATGCTCACATGAGAAAGAGTCGTTCGTCTAGCATATGAAGGATATGAAGTGTGGTATAATTTCACGTAGACGAGAAATTATCCCTGCCCTCCTTTGACCGTCGGCGTAATGGCGTGGTCACTGTGCGCTTTCCTGAGTTGTGGAAGATATTGTTGACAGAAGGCAGGCAGCGAGATCAATGTGCTGTTCTTCGTTCCTTCTTTCCTTGAACTCATCTCGGGAAAGGGATATGTCAACAACATCAACAATTACCTTCGGGACTAGGTCTCCTCATGTCTTGCGGGTAAACAGAAAAAGGAAAGTTGCGACAAAAGAAAATCACAGAGACAAAGAGGAAACATGGATTGTTGGAAAATAGAGACGTATCATCAAAATGAAATCTATTGTTGACGAGCCAAGCGCTTTTGGAATACAGCGCAGATGGAGCCAAGGACACCATCCCATTACCTTTCGTGCGTTTTACATCGAGGCATCCTCATATAAGGACAAGACAAAATAAAAGTAATGAAAGGAAGAAAAATGGTGACGGGGAACAATGAATATGCGGCGTAGCCCTTTGTTACCAGCCAAACCTGATGTTGCAAGCCTCAAAATCGATTCGAAGTAGAAGTGAGTCAACGCCGTTTCCATGCAAAATTTTAGATATATCCGGGACCGCTTGTGCGCAGGAAATCTCTTTGATATCATGATGATTCGTCATTTTCGCCCTCGAGGAGAATATATTGTAAGATATCACTCAGAGTGAGAACACCCTTGAGTCGGAAGTCTCCATCCACCACAACCAGGCGGTGCACGCGAGATTTGCGAATGGTATCGAAAATGGTGTCCAGACCGTCGTTCAGAGAACAAGTATAAATACCGGGAAATTCCTGAGATTGATGTTAGCGAGTGGATCGGGGAAGACTGTAGAATAAAGAGAACATACCGCACTTCGTTTCTTCAAGGCTTCGCCGACCGTGAGACTGAGATCGTCATATACGCCTCCTTTGATCAGTGTGATAACATCTACCGCTTCAAAGACATTATAGACAACACCTGCAAGTCCCGGTTAGGCGGACACTGGAGTTGACCTGCGAGACGAGAATTCGAACTTACCTTCTGAGTTCAGGATGGGCACGCTAGATATACTCCGCTCCACGAGTATGTGGATGACATCAATTACTGGTGTATCCATTGACGCCGTGGCGATGTTATCATAGGTGCCCAACAGAATTTCCTTAAGTGGCTTCTTTAACTTTTGTGTGTCACTAACATTGACCGCCACGAACTTCAGTATTCGATACTGAGTCACCACGCTGAGAACATGAGGCCGGTCCGTTTGGCTATCATTTGTAACGAGAGGGATTCTGCGAGCGCGGGATTCGAGCATGCGTCGACAGGCCTCGTAAAGCGGCCGTTCTGGGTCGATCGAAATAGTTTCTGGCGGGGCAACACCGAGAGCCTTTTCCACCTCTGTGACATTTGTTCAGTTTCAGGTTGCACAGAGTCAATTCACAAGTATGGAGATATGAGGCACGCACCTCGAAGACTGTCCAGTCGGAATTGGTCAATCTGGTCCAGTGCCGCGGGATTCTGAAAATAATACTGTATGACGTTGATGTAGTCGGAAGTGGTCAGAAGACCGGCAAAGGTCGAGGTCTTCGAATCCCATAACGGAGCTGATACGATGCCTGTAGGTCACACCGCGCACATCAAACCCAGTCAGCTTATTGTGTTCCAATCTGGACCGTAGAAAGATTGTGATAGTTGCGGCCTTTGGAGGGTATTGTCGGGACATTCCGAGGGACCACCCCTACAAGCAAGAAGAATGTATACATGCCATTTTGAATCAGGATATTCAAACTCTCCTTGACAGAGAGGGAAGTATCGAATATGATGAGCCGGAAACTGAGCGGAAGAACGTCGTAGCTTGTGCGGACTTTGAGGAAGTTACGGATGGCACGCTACACCATATCCAAGCAAGGGAACCTGTTAGCCAAATTGCATAAGGCCTTCATCGCGGAGACAGATGCAATGGGAAACTGTGCTGCATGAAGAGCCCTAATTCTCGAAGATCCCGCCATGATATAAAGACCCAACCAGTAATACATGGGGCACGTGGGATGATTTTCAGTAATTCGAGCACCTGCAAGGAAGGAATTGCAATAAAAAAAAAAAATATGAATAGTTGCAAACAACATAAGATGACCAAGAAGAGCAAGGGAAAAAGCAAAAAGAGGGGTAGACTCACTAGACCCTCACGCTCTTCCCGATCAATTGCCCTCTCGGGCTCAGATGGGCGCATTGGATGTGAGAGACCTCGCGGCCGAAGGTAGGATGAGGGCTGCACGAAAGGGCCCTCGTGACCGTGGATGATATTAGGATCAGGCGTCGAGAAAGTAATGGTGTTGGTGGTGGTGGTCGTTGTGGTGGTGTTGGCGGAGATGGTAGCATGCGCGGCAGTGGGAGTCGGAGTGTCGTTGGCCGTTGCGGTTGCGGTGGTGGGTTCGGGCGGCAAGCTGTTTCTGCCTGTGGGGGGCTGCTGCATCATCCACTGAGAGGCATGTTCCGCCATCGTCGCCAGAATAATAATAGTACCTAGCAATAATAATCCCCCTCTAAATGATAATAAGTGGGATGGACTGCCTGAGTCTATTGCAAGGAGAGCCGCATGAGGAGGATGGGGTTTGTGGTCAACTAGGACGCCTTAGGATGGCTGTGGATGCCGAATGAGGATCACTGGATTTTGGTTGCTTCTTTTTCTCTTCTACAGCTTGGGTAGCTTGTCCTTGACCGGGGATACAGTGGTTTGCCGCCCTTGCCGCGTTGGGTTCTTAAGATGGAAGTACTGTAGTTAGTCTACAGCTAGATGTGATTCGCGCGCTGACAGGTGGATGAGTTGAGTTGACCCCCGGAGACAGTCCTACAAAGGTGTAAGCTAAGACTGAGAACAGAACAAATAAAAATAGATCCGGATAGACAAGGGGATGCTGTTGGGTGTTGGATCGGCAGGTCCCTTTGCTAAACAGGTTAGACTACAGAAGGACATCTGGAGACTGGCCCTGTTACTACTACTAAACCGTTACCCGGAGATGGAGAAGGGTATGTTGCATTATCTGGGTTGTGGAGTTGTGAATGACACGGACGTATACTCCATACCTCTTTCTAGCAATACTAAGGCAGCACAGAGGTCTCAATGGTCATTGGAAAGAACAGATATATCAAACCAAGTATGGGCATTCAAGATATACCCATATCCCACTGATTGCCCCGCCACGACACGTGACTCTCAGCAGTGGTTGCATGACAGCATGGATTGTATCTCAAATATATTGAGAGGTAGCTGCAGTTCTATATACATTCCGCTCTTCCCAGAGTATAACTCTCAATGAGCATGTAATATAAGCATCTATTAGCCCGAAAGCAGACCGGAAAAGCTTCAAAATATCAACAAGGCGTGGAAAAGAAAGGGTGGGGGGAAGGAGCAGCAGAAGAAGCAAACAAACATTAATCATGGATGAAGAACAAGGAAATATATACCTGACTCTCCAGCAGAGTATGCTGCTCGGTGTTGCACATATACTTCCAGCAACACGCTGAGCAATTATTAGACGCTTGACCAACATGTAGAAAAACAGAAGAAACAACGAAGGGACAGCGCATAAGTGATTGCCATAGGAGTGTACTAGTCGAAGAAGCCCTGTCATGGCTTCTCGCTAACCCCGTTGGTGCCCTCGGACTGTGACAGACTGGGGCTGGTACCGGTCTTGAGATAATGCTCAAACTCTCCGATACGTTTGCCTCCCTGGATCCAGCGCTGTCGGTACTCGTTCCTCCTCTTATCAGCCAGCTGATTCAAAGCCGGCCAGTAAATGGAATGATCATATCGGAATTCCACATCACCACCTATGGATTTCATCAGGTGGCCGGCAGGCACATGCTGCCGAAGATCTTCGTTGAATTTCAACTTCTCCCGAGTCAATGGATCGATAAACGGAGTGATTAGCTTGAAAAAGCCCCAGATGACGAACGGCACTATGATCCCGAGGCTATCAGACAAATGAGTAGACCGTTAAAACAGCAGAATCACTTACCGTTTATCACCAATGCCCGTCCCAGTCTCTCCGGATAGTGGTTTTGAAGGATGTTGAGCGTCTGCTTAGCTTGACCCAAACTCGCATTCTGCCCAGATTTCGTCTCGTTAAAATTTACGATAAGGGCCAAAGTTTCCTGGTCCGGTCCCATAAGGTCGATCACACGCTCTAGCATGAAGACTAGGTGCTCAACCTGGCGGTCACTCTTCTCCGTGTTCTGGTTGGATGGCAAGAGGTAGAGGCAGGGTCGCGCATGGATGTCGTATCCGAGGATGACCTGCTTTCCTGTCTCGTTCTCAATCGAGATGTAGTCCGGAGTCAGCTTTTCCAGGCCATATTCGCGGCGCCAAGTGAGAGTGCGCTGAAGTCGGGTGATAGCTTCGGCGACATTCCATTTCGTAGCGCGTAAGTACCGCAGAAGACATTCCCGGGTCAAAAACATGCGCTCATCGTCTGTAATTGGGGCCGTGGGAGCATTTTTTGCCGATGTTGTCGGAATAGTGGTCCATTCAGAAACCGCCTTCAGGACTGCCTCATATTTCGATTGCTGATCAGGGGTAAGCTGAGCAGGAGCCGCTGGTTTTGCAGTATCAAGAGGGCGAGGGAATGGTTTCTGAACGAGGCCATCCGCAGCGGAAGTTGGGAGGTTCGATTCGATATCTTTCTCATCGTTCGCACTAGTAACTGAAGGCGGAACCTGAGCCGGAGGTTGCAATGTAGTCGCAGTTGAGGTTTGATCCTCAACCGGGTTTGACTGAGATGGCAAAGCTGGAGCATTGGCCTGTGAATCGGTGACTGAAGCTGCAGCAGCAGCGGGAACTTCTGACGGTGCACTCATTGTGAATCGAGTTTATGCTTTCAAACCAAGTTTCTATATCACATAAATCTAAGCGTCAATGGTCTAAACGAGTGCTGAAGTTATGTCACAG